CTCTGTTTATGGTTTTCAGCTGGTGGAGCTTTCTCGAGGGCGGTGACTTCCCCGTTTACCGGGAGACGGCCAAGGTCCTGGTGCTGCCGGCCTGCCGGTGGCGTCACCCAGGACAAGTCTTCCAAGCCGCGGTCAGAAGTGGCTTGTGCCCAGCCGGGAAGCAAGGGTGCCGATTCCTCCGCAGGACCGCACGGCGTGTGATGCAACAGGTGAGGGGGGACTGTCTCTGCGTGGCCCCTGGTCTGCGGTTGGAGGCCTGTGCCTCCCTCACTGTCCCTGCCCACGCGGACTAGTGCCCACGGGGACCGCACATCACGGTGCGTGCCAGGGGCCGGGGGGCCGGGGGCCGGGGGGCGGCAGCCCCACCTTCATTACCAGAACTGCACGCAAGGTGACGGGAGCATACACTGGGAACACCGACCATGTGCTACGTTCACATGTCATCGTCTGTAAGCATTTCCGGCAATCCAAAGCACTGAAATTCAACTGTGCAAATAATTAAATCTGGAATTACCACGTGACCCAGCAGTCCCACTCCCGGGTCCCAAAAGGTCTGCAAGCAGGTCCTGAAGAGACATTTGCACCCCCGCGCCCACAGCAGACGTACACGGCCAAGAGGTGCAGCCTCTCGCGTCCACCGGTGAATGGACAGGTAAACAAAGCGGGACAGACCCGCACCCTGGAATATTAAAAAGGAAGGCAGCTCCGGCATGTGCTCCGACACGGAGGAAGCTCGAGGACCCGGTGCTCAGTGAAAGAAGCCAGACACAGAGGGGCAGGTACTGGTGACCCTTTAACGACACGGGGGTTGAGCCCTCTGGGGACACTCCTGTGGGAATTCCTGAGCTGAGCGCGGCCCGGTCATCTCTGCCGACAGGTCAGAGCACTCGCCGAGCACGGGCCCCCATGCCTTGAAGCTCTTTGAAACATTATAAGCAGAACGCTGCCCCGACGCTGGAAAGGGCAGCCGTTCGGGAAGGTGCCCAGACAACACGTCCCCGGAGCTCATGCGAGAATTTCAAAGTGCGTTTCGACAGACTTACTACCGCTCGTCAGGTGGTGATGGTGCATGGATGCAGAAATGGGAGGCACCAGAAGTCTCGTTAGGCTCCCCAGCCCAAGAATTTCCAGAACCAGATGCAGAACAGAGCTCGCTTTCCAGACCCTTATCAAATGGCTTCTTCTATCAGATCTCCTGGGGTAGTGTTGTTCTTCTTTTGAGTCTTGAGGGTACAGAAACCTCTTTACTCATGTGATGATGTGTCCCACGCAGAAACAGAAGGAAGCTCGGAGTATAAGAAGGTGACTCACAGACCAGCCTGCAGACCCCTTTGCTGTGGGTGCCCCTGCCCACCAGGTTGGCACCCCCTCCTGCCCCCCAACGAAGCTTCCTTCTCTGCAAAGCTCAGCACTGTGCCCCTTCCAACCCCCACCCAGCCTAAGGGTGCCCAATCCCCTAAGCGCCAAGACAGTTTCGGGCGCCCAGGCTCTCACTCTGAGCTCGGGTCAAACGTCCCCTCCCCAGGGGCGCCGTAGGTTTTGGCCCTACCTGGGCAAACACACACGCTCACGGCCCCACCTGCCCGCCAGCCTCCAAGCAGGGCCTCAAGCTCCAACCTAAAATCCACCAAGTGCAGCAGGCAGGCAGACAGGTTGGGTTCATTCGTCACCCCCGAAGTCACCCCACAGATCTGTGACACACAGGCGTGAGAGTGCCATCACGAGCAAATGCCATCCGGATGGCGCCCAGCACAGCCGGGTGGAATCCTCTGCCGCAGGCCTGACGACCGACATTCGGCACGCGTCAGAAGCACCGGCGGACACGCACAGAGATGAGTTCAAACCCGTGCTGTTCCCCATTAGCTTCCCTCTGCAGATGCGCGAAGGATTCCGAGGGAAGGCAGAGCCCACGGTCCCTCATTAACCTCTCCGCTGGTTTGAACCAGTATCCCAGTAGGGGACCTCTTGGCCCGGGGTCTTGGTGGAGTAAGAAGACATAAAGTTCCACCATGTGAATCGCTCACACCTACACGAAGCGTAACCCACACGCTCAGCGGTCACAGGGCTTCTCTTTGTTAACGGAACAGCGCTAACCAACACAGTGATTACCCAGTGTTAGAGCCAGGGTCCTGTACGTTAAATGCCAGAGATCCAGCTCAAAGGAGCTTTGGGAAATGGAAGCGAGTTGGCCCCACACCTACCTGTGTGGGGAGGTGCAGGTGGACCCAGCTTCATTGCGCACAGCGTCCAGCCCTCACCGTGTGGTCTGACTCTCCGTGCAGCTCCTCTAGCCCGTGAGTCCCACCACCGGCCAAGCCCCTCTCCGAAGACTTCCAGCCGCGGGCCCTGGGCCTGATGGGTCCACATGGGGGGTGGAGGCCTGCCTCTATCGAGCATGTGGACACCCCACCAGAGCTCAGGTGTGGGGCGGGACGGCCTGCCCAACTCTCCCAGCTAAGAGGGAAGGAGAGAGATGGGCTCTTTGACCAGGAAGAATGTGTGTCAGCAAAAACAAGAGGCACAAGGGGTCATTCATCTGAACAGTTTCAGATTGATCATCTATGCTACCCCAGTTTTATGGGGTGGGCAGAAAAGGATGTGTAGTTTATAAATAAATGGGCAATACTTACCACTGGAGAATTTGCTTGGGTGAGCGGACCCCCTGGGGCCTGTGTGATATCTGGGAACCTGTTCCTGGCGGGGCAGGACCACCAAGGAGAACAGACCACCCCCCTCCCTGGAGCTGTCTACCAGGACAGCACACACGGAGGAGAAAAGTCCCACCAGAAACCGAGCTTCCCCCCAGAGAAACTGAAGAAGGCTCTGGGGACGTCTGTGTGGCCACCGGGAACCCGTCTGGTGCTACGTGTTACAAAACCAGGCCCGCACTGCTGGTCCAGAGCTAAGCTCCCCTCGCAGTGCAGACGAGGTGGTGCCCGGGACAGCTCTGAAGGGCCCGCTGGGAAAGGGGACCTACACATCACCAAACACACATGTCACCCGGACCCACGAGTGGGGCGGGGGGGTGTCCACGAGCCATCCAACCTCCAGGGCCAGACCAGCCCGCCTGTGTCCTCCACTCCAGGCTCTAGCCCTCTTGGGATGAGGGCAGGGGAGGGGGAGGGCAGCTGGACCGTTCCTGATGCCCACAGGCCGCCTCAGCGGATGGCTGTGGGAGGTGAGCACGGACACAGCACTCCTTACCCTCTCTGGAAGGAGGGCAGGGGAGCCCCAGCACCTTTCAGGGGAGAGGAGAGCACAGGAAGGAAATGAAGACACACCGTTCCTTTCTGAAACGGGGGCCAGCTAACTTCTCCAGGAACAGTGCAAGCTGCCCTTCTGGACCTCACAGACCCTGCGATGCTTGGAAAGTGCTGGAGGTCAGAAGCAGTGAGCTCTAAGCCCACTCAGGGCCGGTCACAGCACCTCCAGGAGCCGCAGTCGCCTTACAAACACCCAGAGAGGACAATGGCAGCCCTCCCACCGGTTTGGAACCAGGCTCAGGGGCGCCACCCCTTCGCTCCCTCCCTCCCTCCCTCCCTCCCCAGTGACCGTGAAGGCAGGCCCAGCCCTGCCCCAGGTGCGGGCCGCATGGAGGCAGACTCTGTCTGCAGCCGGGGCTGTCGCTGCCCACGCCTGAGGGCAGAGACTCGGGGGCAAACAGAAGCACGGGACGGCGGTCCCGGCCTCCCGGGGGGGCTCCGCATGTGCTCTGAAACGGAGCTTCACGGGACAGGCAGGGGGACAACCATGCTGCTCACGGCTTCTGCCTCCCCCGCTCTTGGGCTCCTGTCGCACCCAGGGGTGGGAACGCCTCCCCTGCTGCTCCCCACCGCATGCCAGGGGCTGATTCCCTGGGGACAGCCCTGCACTGGGGGGGGAGGGGGGCGGTGCCCTGAGGCAGGCGCTCCTCCTCTGCATTCCTCTAACTGCTCCCACCAGCGGCAGAACCAGGTGGAAGCCCCACCTGTACCGAAGCACGGGGGCAGGTGCCCAGGTACACACTAACTGCACCGGGAAGAGGAGACGAGAACCCGACCCTTGCTGAGAAGACTTCAAATTTTTCCAGTAGTGGAAAATTCTTCAAAACAGAGCGGGAAAGCAATGCAAGGCCCCATAAGTGTGCATTAGGAGCCGCAGTGGGAACTCTGCGTCGATGCATGGACACGTGCATCATTTTTAGAGGAACGAGGACTGACGGGGTCTCTCTCACACGTACACACGTGCACACACTCACTCAGGCACCTCGGGTGTTGGGCGAGTCCCACATCCCTCTCCCCAACTGTAAACAGGCACAGTGCCCTGGTGGCCGTGCTGGGGGCTCGGTGACAACATGGGGAGGATCCTGGACCACAGCCCATGGCGTAATTAGGACAGTGGGCCAATGTGTCAGTAACAGCTGGAGATGAGAGGCAAGTAGAGTTAAAGAACCAGTTTTATAGAATCATTTGGTTAAATTAGCTAATTGCAACATCAATTTAAAAAATTCTTATAGTGTCTTCACACGAAACACATACGGAGCCTAATTTCTTCACAGGACACAATTCTGTGGTCAGGGAAATGGCAAAGAATAAGAGGCACCCCAGAAAGGGACGAGGTGGGGGCCCCCCCTCTGTGGAAGGAGGAGGCCGATGGCCGACGAGGACCTTCTCTGCCATCACGTCCTGAGTCGTCCCCCAGGTGGCCCCCAGGTCGGAACCAGCCGGTGGCACAGGAATCTGGACGGGTGGGTGGATGCTCCCACAGTCCCTGCAAACACGCCCCCGACACCCACGGAACTGGACCTACACGATAATTATGCACGAAACCAAGAATAAAGAAATGCAGAGGTGGACCCTGCCCTTAATGAGTCCAGCACCCAGTGAATTTTGACATTTGTCTGAACATTCTCGAAATAAACACATTTCACTGAGAAACTATCACAAGAGGCAGATGCCAAGCGCCTGCCTGAAGCAGAACGCCCTTTCTGGTAAAAGGACGGAGCAGCCCTCTGTGCCGGCCTGAAGAGGTGTTTCAGAACCATTATTTCAACGTTACGGCCCATTTTGATGAAAACCAGTTACTCAAAATTACAGCACAGGACTGAAACCCACAGTGTACTTAATACACGTGAAAAAGATTTGGAACGATCCCAAGTACTGTCTTGTTTTCCCAGGACATCCTCCCAACTCACCTCTAGCACCGTGACACGTCGTTTGCATGTCTCCCACACTGATTCAGTTTATAAAAAGTGACCAGGTCAGATATGACTCAGCAATCCACTTCCGGGTACTTACCCAAAGGAACTGAAAGCCGTGAACTCAAACCGGTATTTGCACACCCACGTTCATGGCACCGCTGCTCACAACAGCCAAGAGGGAGAAGCAGCTCAAGTGTTCACTGATGGACGAACACACACCACGGGCCCATCCACGCCGAGGAACTGCCCTCGGCCTTACAAGGAAGGACACGCTGACAGACCTGCCATCAGAGGGACGGACCTCGAGGACATGATGCTGAGGGGCCAAGGGACAGACGCTGTAGGCTCCCACCTCTATGAGGTCCCTGGAGTCGTCAGAGTCACAGACACAGCGAGGAGGAGGGTGGGCGCCGGGGGGTGGGGGAGGAGGAACGGGCGCAGGGTTTCACTCTGGGGAGATGAGAAGCTCTGGAGCCCACCAGTGTGAACGCCCTCAATGCCCCGGAAACAGACACTGAAGTGGCTAAGATGATACGTTTTATGTTATGCGTATTTGACCACGATAAAACTATCGGTGGGGGGATGTTACCAGGTCAGCAGAAAGGTCTGTGTTGTGCTCTGCTGACTTCTTCCCACTTCTCTCTCGTCACACACCAGAAGGACAGTGGCAGCTCGGGGGAACCTCTCCGGAATACCGGCACCCCTCTATCCCTGCGCAGGCCCCTTCGGAGCGGGGCGGCTGCCGTCGCCTGCTGACGGGCCTCCTGGCCCCTCCGCTCCTCACCCCAAGGAGGAGCACACTGGCCCCAAAGAGCCCAAGTTCCTCCATCCCCAAACCTCCACCACGGCTCGCTGCTGCCTCAGTGAAACCTCAGGTCCTGGGCCTGACAGCCAAGGCCGCCAGACTCCACACTCACAGCCCATCCGCATCCCGGGGTGGTGGTGAAGCTCACCAGCTCCAAATCCTGGCTCCACTGACCTCTGCTGCGAGGGTCCTCACCAGAGCACAGGACCGAGGGGACGTGGAACGACCCATGGAGGAGGCGCTTGGCGAGGAACACCAACGGTTAGTCCCCCCCCGTCTCCGGACACGCCCCGCATCCGTGCTGACATGACGCGTACCGCGGACGTCCAAGCCGCACCCCATCCTTCAGGCTGAGCTCAAGCACTGCCTTCCGCGGGACGCCCGCCTTCACCTCACCTCACCTCCTGCTGCCTTGTCCTTGAAGGCCTTTGGGCCGGGGGTCCCTGCTCTCGTCGCACACCGTAGGGTCACAGGGTGCCCCGAAGGCAGAGCCACCCCATCTGCCTGGTGACCTGAAGCCCCGTGCTCGCGGTGCCATGGCCAACTATGGGGTGGGCCGGTGTCCCAGGCGTCCCCAACACGGTGAGGGTGCTTCAGTGACTCTAAAACCGGACTCCTTGAGTTGGAACATCTTTGCTGCCAACTGTTTTATAGAAAGGGGAACTTACAGAAGGGAAAGCAGGTGGTTTCTGGCCCCGTGGAGCCCGAGTCTGTGAGGCGGGCACCCAGAGGCCCCGGGCTCAAACCTCCGTGCCATCACGGAGCAAGGACACCACACTCAAAGGAAAGCTGGCGGGAGGACTTTTCCGTGTGCAGCTAGCTGCTCGGGAACAGGGCTTCGAGGACCAAATGCTACAGATTAAGGAGACAAGGTCACACCTGAGGCCCACACACCGCAGAATGACTTCACGCTTCCCACCAACTACAGGGTCACAGCCAAAACTGCACATCAGTCTGAACCAGATGTTTAGAAAGAGCCTTCCTGGACTAGCCCAGACGGACACCGCTACGGAGTCGGGACCACCAAACGTGAGGGTCCCAGGGTCAGTCACAGCCTCAAGGGGGACGGTCACAGGAGCTGAAGCTGACCAGCCAAGCCTATGACGACAATCCCACCCAAGCCTCACCTTGCTGATGGCAGGGAACAGATTCTCGGGACAGACTCGTGCTCACACCATCCCTGTGACAGCGCATCCTTATGTCCATGACTGATAAGCTTGTGGGAACAGCTGCAGCTAATGTCCTGCTTCTGTGACTGTGCCCTGAGGTAGGGTCTCAAGTAGAAGACCCTCTCTAACCGACTTCCCTTCTCAGAAATATCACACGGTCAGAGAGCTTTCGCTTGCAAAGGATCTGCTACCCTTTTAAAAATACAGGTGAGGCCTGATTTCAAGCGTAGGTTCCTCCTTTTTGCTGAAGACGAGCATGAAAATTCCCTGCCTTCACCCGAGTTTCTGAGGTCGGGTCCCTCAGAGCCTCTGACCGAGCCCCTGTCGCTGTACCAGAATAACCACAGAAGCAGGCGGCAGAAGCAGACGCAACATTTACTCCATCCTCTCCTCCACTTTTCATATTAAATATCTGAAATATATTAATCTTAAAAAACAATATTAACACAGTACTCAAGGAATATAGGCAGTGGAATCAACAGTAAGTCCAGACTGCAAAATCGAAGGTGATTTTAAAAACCGGAGTGTGGGTACGGTCGATTCCGGGTGTTTCCAGCTGCCTCATCAACGGGAGCGTTGTGGAACTGTGCCATGGGTCAGACCGGGAGGGACACAAAGCCATAAAAAAATATACGCGTCAACCCATCGCCCCATCCCTGGGAGGAAGGTCATGCTACGGCAGACCCTTCGTCCAGCCCCGCTTGTTCTGGAGACCGGGACTGCCCCCCGACGCCGTCAGTCTCTAAGAAGGTTCTCGGGCTTGGGGTAGCCAAAGAGGACAAAGTCGGCCTCGTAGAGTTTGTAAAGCTGCTGCCTCCAGGCCAGGGGGATCGTGGCAAACCAGTCCTCCTCCCAGCTACTGGCAGTTCTGTTCCGGTAACTCGGGGGGAAGTGAAGGAGCTTGTCCACCTTGAGGAGCCGCAGGAGCTGGGCGGCGTCCTGGTCCAGGGTCTCCAGCTTCCCCACGAAGTCGTAGTCGATCTGGCAGGGGTGGCAGAGACGGTGCACCTGCCTCCAGTGCTCGTTGAAGGGCGTCAGCTTCTCGGTGCGCGGGTCCAGCAGGTACTGGATGAAGTTGGCAAAGGACACCTTGAGGCCCGCGCTGAAGGCCTCGCTGACGGACGCGGGCAGGCCTGTGTGGTTGGCGTACATCTTGAGCATGGGCACGGCGAACTTGCGGTAGAACTCCTCGTTCTCCAGCTGGAACTTGCTGCGGAAGGCCGAGATGAGGCGCACGAAGGGGTCCCGCACAAACAGGAACTTGGTGTACTTCTTCAGCTTGATCTTCATCAGGTGGCGGGAGAACTTGCCGTAGCGACGCCAAAATTTGTTGAAAGTCAGGTGGGTGCTGGAGTTGTGGACATACTCCCGGGGGATGTCCAGGGGGTCGCGGTAGGGGGCGCCGCGGTCCAGGAGGCTCTCGCTCAGCACGATCATCACGCGCTTCCAGTTGGTGCAGGCCACCTTGGGCACGTAGCAGTAGATGACCCCGTGGCGGTCGTCCACGATGAGGTGGTTGAGCTCGTAATTAGGAATGTCGTCGAAGGAGCGCTCCTTGGTGGGGAACACGAAGCTGGCGTTGGCACAGAGCCCCCTGAGCACGCTCCTCCTCTCGGCCTGCCGCCCACCCGGGTCCGGGCCCTGCTGGGCGTCGCGGGTGGACCAGTCGTAGCCCCTCACGCTCTCCTCCGCGTTGCTCAGCACGGGCCTGCTGGAGGCCGGCACAGAGGGCTGCTCCGTCCTTTTACCAGAAAGGGCGTTCTGCTTCAGGCCGCCACTGAGCAGCTTCTGCAAAAACGCGTCCACGTCTGACGTGAACCCCTTCTCTGCCCCGTGTGCGGGGGTGGGCAGCGGCTCCAGGGGGTGTGGCCTGGGGAAGGAAGTGTGCAGGTAGAAGTGGGCGGTGCCCACGTTGTCCCAGTACACGATGATCAGGAGGACCATGAAGACGGACCCCAAGACCAGCCACAGGCGGAAGAGCCGGGTTTTGGTCATTCTGTCCGCGGACGGGGCGGGGGGCCCTTTCACCTGGATGCGGTCACGTCAGCTTCATGGAGACGGGACACTGCTCTCAGGACCCTGGAAAGGTAACACAGAGCTACGTTAAAGACTACAGTCCAGTTAGGGGGTCCTCTTGCAGTCTGACTCCGACGGACGCGCTTGCTGATATCTCAGACCTCCCATCGTGGTCCGTGTCCCTGCCCGCCCCTCACACCTCCATCCTCCACGACTTAGGCTTTGTGAGGCTGCCTGCTGAGCTTCAGCCCCTCCGTGTGATAGGACTAATGCTGCTTCTAACACTGCTTCGAGGGGCCCAGAAGGACGGGTGTGGCTGGCGAGGTCGCTGGAGATCCTTTATCACTGAACTGAGAAGGGGGCGCTGACAGACCAGGCTCGGGCAGGGACTCAGCCTCATGGGCAGGAAATGCCGAGGAGGAAGGCGAGGTGGTCAGCAAAACCAAAACACGAGCCTAAAGTTGAAGGCATGCTACAACTTATAAAAACGCTAAAGACGTCCCAGCCCCTGAGATAAACCTTTTGCTGTGCACATTTAATGCAAATAACCACATCAAAGACAGGCCACTGTGTGCGGCTGACGTGTGCTGGGCCCTGTGCACCGTCTCTGCCCCCTTCTACGTGGAAAGGGTGGCGCGCACCCGAGGTCAGAGGGGGGACAGCGAGGGTCCACCGGGCAGCTGAAAGGGGGCCCATGAGAGAGCTTTCCAGGCTCTAAGAGCACTGTTGGTGTCCCCACAGAGGAGCCAGACAGTGGCAGAGCCACGGCTGAGATGGGGAAAGGCTGCCTGATCTTCAAAAAACAAAAGGGTGGTGGGAGGGCGAAGGGGGGGCAGGTGCAGACTGGCAGCCGTGAACGTCAGCAGGTGCTGGGACTGCACCCGGGCGAGGTCGACCAGCAGGCCCTCCGGCAGGCCCACCGGCTCAGGGGCAGGCGGCCACCCTCGTGCACGGGGAGATGCAGGCCGGACAACGGATTTGTGGCTCCCTTACAACTTCCACTGAAGGTTGTCCTTGACCACAGTCAAGGTCAATACCAGAAATGCCAGAGGAGCCCATCCTGTTTGACAGATATGCTGAGCACCAACTCTGTCCCAGGTACTTGGCGAAGTGCTAGGGACATCACAGGGAAGATGTGTCCAATCGAGTGCTGGGACAGAGAACGCTGGTGAGGTGGCAGATAACCCCGGGGGGGACGCTAGCCCGGGGATGAGAGGACGTGCAGTCACGCCCAGGGCCTGCCGCGGTTCCGCTCCATTACAGATCTGCCCACTCACAACGCAACAACTAGAAATGTGACACAACCAACAGGCACAGGAAGGCTTGGAAAGGACAGTCCAGGGACCTGGCTACTCGAGGAACAACAGGGGACGAGCCTGTCCCACCTCCCAGAGAGCACTGCCTCCAACCCTGAAGAGCCATCAGGCACAGGAAAAAAGCTCCAAGAACAGCCTCTGGAGCCCAGGCAAAGGACGGGCAAGAGCGGTGCAGTAAAGGACTGAACCTTGCCCAGAGAGGCCCCTCCTGCCCGCAGCTCCTGCAGGGGGGTGGCTCTGCCTGACAGGAGTGTCTTTGTTTCCTGGGAGCCTGAGGCTAACAGTGTGATTGGGGGCTCGAGGGGCTTTGGGTCCGAGTGTCAGCCCGACCTCCAGAGGGGCTGGAGGCTGAGGTCAGCCATGTGGGGGGTCTACCTGTTCCATGACAAAGGCCCAGGAGAGACTGTGGACATGAAGGCTTGCGGGGTGTACTCCACGCACACCGTCACACACGAATGGCAGCTGGCATCGGCCCTGTCCAGACCTCCGCTGAGAGGGGACAACTCCTCCCCCCGCGCCTCTTCCCTTGGCTTGTGATCTGAATCCTTTGCTGCGATGAACCTTTAGTAACAGAGAGTACAACATCTTTCCGTGAGCTCCTCAGATCCTTCCAGTGAATTATCCAACCTGAGGGTGGTCTTGGGACCCCACTCCCCATTCACTATTGGTGTGAGGACTGAGAAGGGTCTTGAGAACTGTTCCTAACCTTACAGTAACCTAACAACAGAAACATCTTTTTGGAAACACCTGCTCTACTTAGGCCAGACATCAGTGGAAAAACCACCCCCACCCTCGCAGTTCAGCAGGGCCGGGCAGGGAGTCGACCTCTCCTACCAGGCACAACAGGCAGAAGAAGATGGTGCAAAGCAGGGTAGTCACACTTGGACTCCCCTCCCCTTACAACAGGAGATCCCGGGGGGTGAGGGGAGCTGAGCCTGCCCCTCCGCACCGGGCCATCATCACTGGGATGGAACATTTCCAGGATGGAAAACATTTGTCAATATTAATCAACATAGGTTAGCCACTGAGGGCCACCTGCTAGGGTCAGCGTAACCCTGGTCCCTTGCCAGATCCCCCAGTGTGTGACTCTGCTTACCTCTCCCCCAGAGGGCAGTCCCCCAAGCCACCAGCAAAGCTGGCCCACCCTGCCAGCAACTGAGAGTAGAAACTAGATTCAGAAACATGAACAAATAAGCTGGAAAGATGGGTTGAAAATCAGAGCTGGACACTGAGACTGGGATGAACGTCAAGCTGTCCTTCCAGGTAGAAAAGAATCAGCGATACAGGACAGAGACCCTGGAGCTGGACACAAGGCAAAAAAGATGAGGCGGACAGAAAAGTAAACGTGGCACTAATTTGCATGAACACACACGCCTGCAGGTACAGACCCACCACACCTGGCCCCCGAGCCCAGCGCGGTCTTGGGACAGCAGCTCTAAGGAATAATGCTGGCCACGCTCACGGGTCTCGGAAGATGCTAGTCCCTTCCAGTGAGATCATTCACCTTCACCTCTCTGTTCTGAGGTCTGTTTTACACCTGGACCGTTTTACAGCCCCTTTCAGAGGGTGGAGGGTAAAAGACAAATTATCATACCCGTGTTCAGTGAGTGTGACCTTACAGTTTGAGGTTTCTGGAAAAGCTCAAGATCTGTACCCCTCTATTCTGGCCTTCACCTCCTCTCGGTAGAAGCGTTCAATGGGCATGTGTCTTAATCCACCTGTTAAGAGTAAGTGGGGTCCTTGCCTCTCCTCCGGCTTCTGACGGCTCTCAGGTTCTCTTCCCCCACAGCACCTGCGGAAGGGGAGCAGGTGCAGGAATGGGGGCCGCTCTGTCGGAGAGATTTGCAACAGGGCCTCCACTAGCTGGAGGGTTGTCCCGTGGGAGGGGAGCAGGCTTATCCTGTGTGGCTTCAGAAGACAAAACTCAGACACAGATCTGAGAGAATGGATGCACCACCATAAAGTGGCCCAAAACCCAGAATGTCCATTTTTAAGACATACTGGGAGCTCTGTCAGTATCAAAGACATCTGAGCAGACATAGACGGAGCGCGTCTTAGGGGTGCTCCAGAGACAGCCCCCCATTGCACGTGCTCTCTGACTTCTCCCTGTCCGAACCTCTCCAAGTCTGTATTCCTTGTATGTGTTGGACTATATACCTGGGACCTGATGCATTTTCACTTCATGAACCTAAAACTTCATGAGGCTGAACTATGGAAGCAATCTCCACCCGTGTGGCTTTTGTTTATCCTCAGTTCATTTTGTTTTTTTAATGGAGAAGGTAACACATGTTCATGGTACAAAGGTCGGCATGCAAAGGGCGGTGTGGGTTTTATGTGAAAGGTGCTGAAACAGGCAAGTGACAGAGAAAAAAGGACATTCTGGTCACTGCCACCTTCATCAGTCCTTCCTGAGCCCCCAGCGCTCTCAGTGCACCCCTACAGAAAAGGCAGCCCAGCCTGGGCGCGGAGAAACCTGGCCGACCCCACGCTGCCGCGGCCCAGGGCAGCACACAGCCTCACGTACGTATCACACGGGAGGGAGGCAGTCGCCGCGCCGTGAGAACCATCAGAATTAGGGGCGCTCGTCTCTCACACAGCTGCTGCCAGAGGTCAGCGAGCTCCCTTTGAGGGCAGGCCACTGACGTTTTCGAGACCATCCCCTCTGGAGGATGTAAAAGGCTGCACGGTTTCTAGAGAAGACGAAACCGTATCAAAAAAAAAAAAAGTTTTGCCGAAGGCTGAGAAAGCAGCAAAGGGAAAAGGTGACTGAAGATGTCACGTGACTGAGAGCGCGGCTTCCAGTTTTAAGAGCAAGACTCACAAGCGCCGTGGAGGTGGGGCAGAGTCCCCGAGTCCCGTCCGCGGGCATAGGGACCACGCATCAAGGATGCGCCGTCATTTGTGTATTGAGAATGCCAAGAACAGGGTAAGGGACTTACCTGGTTATAATGAATAATCCAAAAATACAACACATGATATACAGATACCTCTGCTTATTTTTGAGCCAAGTAGTAGTACATGCACCTGACAAATGCCAGGTCTACAGCAGTTTGTGAAAATGGACTCTCTTTACTAATCGTTTCACATGACTTCAGTTTAATTGCAAGGAAAAGACATGGATCATATGATACGTACATATGATATCTTTTTAATAGGAGCTGCCCTGAAAGGGCTCTTACCACCGAGTGCGAGGCGCTTGGAGGACCACGCCACCCACTGGCGCTCCCTCAGGCTCTCTGCACACGGCCTCAGGGCGGGCAGCACGACCCCCTTACAGCTAGCTGAGGAACCCGAGGCCCAGAGGTCTCACGTCAACATCTGGATTCAAGCCTCACTCCCGAAGTCCAGCCCGGCTCACGCTCCCGCGGCTCTGCCGTTGGACGTCCTCGTTCCTCTGAACCGCTGGGTGAGGCTGGCCCATGAGCGACTGCCCCGACTACATGCTTCATGGGTACAGTCTGACGCGTTTGGCTGCGTGTGTGCACCTGCGACCCCATCACCACGGTCAGAGAGTGACACCTCCATCAACCCCCAGAGCTCATCCCTCCCCTCCAGCCACTCATCTGTTTTCTGTCCCTATAAGTTAGTTGGCATTTTCTAGAGTGTTCTATAAATGGAGTCACACCGGGTGAGCTTTGAGACTCGTCCACTGGTCACATAGATCAACAGCTCCTTCTTTTCTGGATCTGGATGGTACTCCGCTGTAGGAAGCGTTTATATACGGCAGCCCCGGTAAGCAAACACACATCCCCCCACCATAGTTTCCCATCTCCCCCCCGGGACTGAAGTCACACGTGCAAATTTCTTCTTGGTCTAAGTTCAATCTGGTGAACAGAAGGGGCTGAGAAGGATCGTGCTTCCTTTTAAGTTCAGGTGCCGACAGGTGCGTCTCTGTCCCACACGGACGTGCTTCCTGGCCTCTCTGACCCAACAGATGCGGAGGCACTGGTCCTGGGGGCAGAGGTCACAGCTGAGCGAGCCGCAGTCAGCCTACAACTAGTCCTCGACGCTCCCGTCGGGGGAGTCTGTAACCCAGCAGAGGTGAAGCAGATGCATCTGACGTTTCTTCATTACCTGTCCCAAACGTGGTTCTCTAAGTTCAAAGAAAGCCCGTCTTCTCTTAACCAGAAGACGTTTGAAGTTGCTCTAATTTTTTCCTTATTTGGCATATTAGCACCAAACGCTATCATCTTTTAGTCTTTAATACACTCAATGCCTAAAGTTTTGTTCTTAGTCCATAAATACCTACTTGAGTATGACTGGGCATGGTGAAGTGAGGAGTGAGGAGCCCCGTTCAGGTCCTGAATTTCTCACCGCCTGGCCCTGGGCCAGCAGTAGGTCATGCGGGTGGCCCCCCAGGGGACTCTTCTCATCCTCACAGTGAATCTATGGCTTATGTTGTAAACAGCGAGTCAACTAACTTATTTATAAGGAGACTCATAACTTGCATCATGCAGACTAGACCACTCAGTGGGCCTGTGGCTCATTGCAGGGAGAGTTCCGGCTTAGGGGCTGGCCATCAGGTAAGCATGTGGGCCCTCCCACCACCACCCAGCCCCAAGACAGCGTCAGCAAACATCCCTGGGCAGCAGCCGTCTGGGTGATTCTGACTTACTGCTTCCTGGCTTTCTGTACTTACATTTGTTTTTGTTTACACTGAGCACTGACTGGTTTTTACTATGAGAAAAAAACATTTTTCCTTTTACAAAAGATACACAGCAATAAAAAATTAAGGCATTAACAATGAAAGAAAAGAAATCAACCAATCGGACTTCATGCAAATTAGAAACTTTTGTGCATCAAAGGGCACTATCCACAGGGAAGAGTCCCACAGAAAGGGAGAAAATGTTTGCAAATCATGTATCTAATGAGGGCTTAATATCCAGAATAAATGGAGAACTCATGATACTCAAAAGAAAAGAACATCAAACAACCCAATTCAAGAAAAGGCAAACAACTTGAAGAGACATTTCCCTGAAGACATGCAAATGGCCCATGAGCGCGTGAAAAGATGTTCCACAACACTCATCATCAGGGAAACGCAAATCAAGATCACGGTGAAACACCACCTCACACCCATTCAGATGGCTCCAATCAAAAACAAAACAAAACAGGGCGCCTGGGTGGCTCAGTCGGTTAAGTGACTGCTTCGGCTCAGGTCATGATCCTGGAGTCCCGGGATCGAGTCCCGCATCGGGCTCCCTGCTCGGCAGGGAGTCTGCTGCTCCCTCTGACCCTCCCCCTCTCATGTGCTCTGTCTCTCATTCTGTCTCAAATAAATAAATAAAATCTTAAAACAAAACAAAACAATACAGGGCGCCTGGCTGTCTCAGTCAGTGGAGTGTGCAACTCCCGATCTCGGGGTTATGAGTTCGAGCCCCACACTGGGTGTAGAGCTTACTTAAAAAATAAATAAAATCTTCAACAAAACAAAAACCAAACCAGAACATAAGCATTGGCCAGGATGTGGAGAAACTGGAACCCTCTGGCCCTATTAATGGGAATGCAAACTGGTGCAGCCACTGCAGAAAACAGTATGGAGGCGGCTCAAAATACTAAAAATCGAATTACCATATAAAATGACCATACGATCCAACAATTCTACTTCTGGGTCTATATCCAAAAGAACTGAAAGCAGGGTCTCAAAGCGGTATTTGTACAGCCATGTTCATGGCAGAATGATTCGCACCAGGCAACAGGTGGAAGCGCCCCCGTGTGCACCCCAATGTGCACGGAAGGATGAATGGGTAACAAAGTGTGGCGCGCACACACGTACAACGGAATATCGCACAGCCTCCAAAAGGAAGGAAATTCTGGCAGCTGCGACGACGTGGATGAACCTAAAGGACCTGCTGCTGAGTCACAAAGGACAGATGCCGTATGATTCTGCTCATACGAGGTCCCTAGAGGAGTCACGTTCCCAGAGACAGGCTGGAGGTTACCAGGGCCTGGGAGGGGGTGGGGGGGGTCAGTGTTCAATGGGGACAGAGGACATTTGGAAAGATGAAATGAATTCTAGAGACGGAGGGTGGTGATGGTTGCCCATGTGAATGTGCTCCATGCTACGTGAACTATCCGCTTAAAAATGGTTACGATAAAATTTATGTTACATGTATTTTACCGCAATAGAAAAATTGGAAAAGAATGCATTAGAGCGGGTGGGAGGATGGGTTAGCCCGGTGGTGGGTATTGAGGAGGGCACATTCTGCATGGAGCACTGGGTGTTATGCACAAACAATGAATCATGGAACACTTCATCTAAAACTAATGATGTAATGTATGGGGATTAAGAATATAAATAAATAAATAAATAAATAAATAAATAAATAAATAAATAAATAAATAAATAAATAAAAGAATGCATTAGAGCTACAACAGTGGACTTGGAGGAACTGACTAGAGGTATCGTTGAATAAATAAAGCAAAATGCAGGACAGTGTGTAAAAAATAAACACATGAATAAAAGTAAATAAAATGTACAAAGACAAGGGTTCCTTTAGTGGGGGGACAGAGCCGTAAGTAACAAAGGCTGTAAGCCTAGAGCCACAGCTTAACCTCCCACCCTGCACAAAAGCTCAGTGGGCTGGCTCTATCTGCAATTTAACACAAATGTTCAAGTTTTAGAATCGTGCAGGGGGATGGGTGCAGGTAAACAAGACAAGGCTTCCCTTTGGGACACCCCAAACCCCACGTGTCTGGCTCTTCACCGGTGAGACCGGTCCTGAGAGCCTTGTCTCGCCCTGGAGTCCTGCCCCAGAACCAGACTGGCTTCGGGGGCAAGCCCTTCTAGGCCTTTCCAAACCGAGGCGCGGAGCACCCCAACACCAAGCTGAGGCAGCGCTTGCCGATGAGGCTGAGGGCACGGGTCGTGTTTAACGTCCGGGAACTAGGGCAGTCCCAGGTGCTGCCCTCTCTAACCTCAAACGAGCCACACCAACAGCAACTGTGAGACAAGGCAGGGTGAGTGTGTTAGAGGGCCTGTGTGAGCAGTGCCGAGAAAGGAAGGGACCGTGCTGCTTCCAGCAGGCTCCACAGCTCCTCAGGGCTGCAAAGAGAGAGAGCAGAGGCAAAAAGACCACCACACAGTACCACCACCAAGCTTCACTTTTGAAAATGGAGTGGGACCTGCGCATTTCTGGCCCAGGCGCGGAGGCAGCGGGAGCCGGGGAGGGCTCTGGGGGAACGCCCGGCTGCCTTCTGGGGACAGCGGCGGCAGTGTGGGGAGCCCTTCGGACGCAGAAGCAAGTCAGGGAGCAACACTGACCCCGAAGTCGTAGTCATTCAAAAAATAAGGGCACTATTTTCAAACATGAATCTCCCACAACTTCAAAGAGCGGTCAGCAAGAAGCCTTCCAGCTTCTGAAGCAGCAGGGCACGAAGAGGCTCCGCTGAGGAACTGATCCACAGCGGGCTTGCTGCGAGTCAATCTCGGGCTTCTCCGCCAGCAAGAGGATGGACAGCAAAGTCTCATCCAAAAGCTTCGCCCTTGGGGGCTGGTTTTCTGCAAGGGCTCCGTCAATGCCCTTGTGAACGATCAGGCTTCGGGTTAGGTTTAACCCCAAAACAAGGTGGCTGTGCAGAAAGAGTTGTTTCTTAGCTCGGGGTGGGGTTGCTAAACATTCCTCGTCACACCTACATGGTGGCAGGAGCCCCACACCGGCTGCCCACGGGAGGCTGCTGGTCTGAAGGGGCCTTCACACCCGCAGTGGGCAAAAATCAGGGGGACGATAGGGTGGTCTGCGGCAGACCGCAGGGGGCTGAGCTCCCTCACGTTCTGGAGTGTGTCATCCTTATTGGGAAGAGCAGGCCACATGGCCAGACCCATGGGAGGACCTGCGTCAGGGCACTTTCCACATTTCTGTAGCAGAACTGACGACCACAGGACAAAAAGGTCAGGAGGTACATGCCGGTTGATCCTGCGTCCCCTTCACTGGTCACGCAGTATTCGGGGTGTGTCTGTGAGGGTGTTTCTGGATGAGACTGACATTTGATTCCACAGACTGAGTCAGGCAGACGGCACTCCCCAGCGTGGGTGGGCCTCGCTCAATCTACTGAAGGCCTGAACAGAACAGTAAGTTGAAGAGAGAATTTCCTCTCTGCCTGTCTTTGAGCTAGGACAGAAGTCTCAGGCTTGGACTTGGACTGGAACATACCATCTGCCCCCCCGGGGTCTGAACTTCTCGGCCTCCATAATCACATGAGCCAATTCCTTAAAATAAATCTCTTTACACACACCCTATGGATTCTGTTCTCTGGAGAACCCTAATACATATATTTGCTTTGTCACTTGTACTGGGGGGGTGGGTAATGTGTGTTTACTACACGTTACAGACAGAAGTGGTCAAACCAGTGAGAACTAAACAAAGTGTTGAGAAACAGAGGGCACCTAGGTGGCTCAGTCGGTTCAGCATCCGACTCTTGGTTTCGGTTCAGGTCAGGATCTCAGGGTCGTGGGATTGAGCCCCAGTCAGGCTCCGTGCTCAGCATGGAGTCTGCTAGAGATTCTCTCTCTCTCCCTCTGCCCCTCCCCCAACTCGTGTGTACTCTCTCTCTAAAAATCAATCAATAAATCTTTAAAAAAAAGTGTTAAATGGATATAAAGTTATTTGCCATGGTGAAAAGGAATGTCAAATGCAGAGAATTTCAGTCACTATCCAATATGAGTATTCCAGAGGGAAGGGTTGAGATTAATTTTTTCCCCATATAGATACCCAGCTGTTCCAGCATCATGTGTTTAAAAGACCCTTCTTTCCTGATTAAATCATGTTGGCACCTCTGCTTCTCCTTTTCTTTTTTAATCAGGTTTATTGAAGTCTAATTTACATACAGTAAAACTCAGTCTTTTTAACTGTAGAGTCTGAGAAGTTGGCAAATGTACACTATTAAGATACACTACAATTAAGATCCAGAACATTTCCCTCACTCTCAAAAGTTCCCTCCTCCTTCCCCAGCGCCTAGCTCTGGGCAACTACTAATCTGTTTTCTCTGCTTGGTTCCGCCTTTCTTACAATGTACCTACATGAAACCATGTAGGATGCAGGCTCTTCACTTTGCAAGATGCTTCTTAGATCTGTCCGGGTTGTTGCACATGTTCGTCGGAAGTTCCTTTTTTTATGACCAAGTAGTATTCCATTATATGGATATACCACTGTTTATCCATTTACCAACTGATGGACTTTGGGGCTAGTTCCCTTTTTGACCACTATGAATAAAACTGGTATCAACTCTTTTGGCATACAGACCAGATTCTTTTTTTATGCTAAGACTTTTTAAAAGTCAGAAAAGGGGCGCCTGGGTGGCTCAGTTGGTTAAGCGACTGCCTTCGGCTCAGGTCATGATCCTGGAGTCCCGGGATCGAGTCCCACATCAGGCTCCCTGCTCAGCAGGGAGTCTGCTTCTTCCTCTGACCCTCCTCCCTCTCATGCTCTATGTCTCTCATTCTCTCTCTCGCAAATAAATAAAAAATTTAAAAGTCAGAAAAGTTTGGGGCACCTGGGTGGCTCAGTCCATTAAGCGGCTGCTTTCGGCTCGGGTCATGATCCTGGGGTCTTGGGATCGAGCCCCACATCCAGCTCCCTGCTCAGCAGAGAGCCTGTTTCTCCCTCTCCATCCGCCTGTCACTCTGCCTGCTTGTGCTCTCTGTCAAATAAATAAAATCTTTAAAAACAAATAAATAAATAAAAAATAAAAGTCAGAAAAGTTAGTATTAAAAAACATCAGGCAGATTTTTCAGTTCCTAGAAGGTTCTACAAGAATCATAAAAGTAGATACACTACAATAATGCTTAGGGACTCTATTTAAAGACCAATCAAACTGATCATCAAAATATGATATACAAATCTTAGGTTACTGATGATTTTTCACTTACAAAATCTTAAGGGCTCAAGCGATATAGCAGGTTTGCAGAATACAAATATACAAAAGTCAACTAGTTTCCTATATATCAGCAATGAACAGGTGGAACTGGAAATTAAATACACAATTCCCTTTATATTAGAACTCCCCAAAATAAAATATTTAGGTATAAATCTGACAAAATACATATAATATGTATGGAGAGATATTCCCTGTGTGTGAACAGAAAGACTCAACGTTTGCCAAGGTATCAGTTCTTCCCAACTTAATCTATAGATTCAATGCAATCCCAATCAAAATCCCAGGAAGTTATTTTGTTATTATCAACAGTTTCTAAAGTTTATATGTGAGGGAAAAGACCCAGAATAGACAACGCAGTACTAAAGAACAACAAAGTTGGAGGACTGACTACCCGACCTCAAGACTTATCATAAAGCCACAGTAATCAAGAGTATGTGGTATTGGCAAGAGAACAGAGAAAAAGATCAATGGAAAAGAACAGAGAGCCCAGAAATAGACCCCCATAAATAGAGTCAGCTGATCTGTAGCAAAAGCAACCCAATGGAGCAAAGACAGCCTGCCTCAATTATGAGTACTGGACATCCACATGCAAAGATAAATAAACACGTAAAAGATTTCTGACACAGACCTTACCGCCTTCACAAAAATTAACTCCAAGTGGAGCACGGACCTAAATGTACACTGCAAAACTATAAAACTCCTAGAAGATCATAGGAGAGAACCTAGATGACCTTGGGGGTGGTGCTGCCTTTAGATAAACTGCACCACAGACCTGATCCATGAATGCAGTATATGTCCGCACGAAGATGTGTACAAGAATGCTCACTGCAGCTTTATCCGAAACAGCTACAAACTGAAAACAACCCAGAGGTCCTTCAACAAGTGAATGAATACACAAAGTGTGGTGGACTCGTTCAGTGGAAAACTACCCAGAAATAAAGGAGAATGAGCCACTGATTCATGAAACAGTACATGCAACGACACGGATGAATCTCTCGGATATTACGCTGAACAAAAGAACCCAGACACAGAAGAGTACATTCCACGTGATTCCACTTACAGGAAGTTTCCAAAAGGCAAAAACAGGGACAAAAATCACAGCGTGTCAAGGGACAGGAGGAAACTGGGCGATGGAGATGTTCTACTGTATTGACAGCAGTGGTAGTTACACAGGTGGACATATTTGTCCACATTTGTCAAACTGTACACTTAAAACGTATGCATTTTACTGCGTATAAATTATGCCTCAATATATTTTATTTCAAGGAAAAAAAATGTCAGCAGCCTTATTAAGTCCATCTCCAGAAGCTAAGCCTTTCCAACATGAACACCATGAACTAGCCTTCACCAGTTTCCACAATACAGGATGAAAACGCCAGCCCCGGAAGTCCTACAGACATTTACAGGTCAGGAGGAAGAGGGAAGGTGTTCTGGGGCCCAGTCCAGTCTCTGCTGAGTGGCTGAGACATCACCTCAAGTCTGAGTCTCAGCTCCTTGCCCACAAAACACCGACCGAGGTCCTTCTGCTAACCAGAGCTACTGAGAATATGAACATGATAACATATGAACTATTCTGTAAAATATTAAGGCACTCTCTTTGGACTAGGCCACTGGCCTTATTTATTTTCCCATCTTTATCAGGCCCTCAAATATTTGTATTCTATTAATATAATGTTTTTTTTTTATTACTCATAGTTTCTACCAATAGTCGATTATCAGCCAAGAAGTCTCTACTCTTTCAACCGATTTTATCATAATTACAACAATGGCTAATATGTTTTCAAAAGTGGTATCGTGAGGTCTTGCATATATTAATTTATTTAATCCTCATGCTAATTGTGATAAAATTGGGGCAAAACATTCAGGCAACTTGCCCAAGTCCACAGAGCTAGCACCTATTGAGAGCCGGCATTTGAGCCCAGGCAACTGGTTTAAGACCCCACCTTCCCAACCACTACCCCCAGCAGCCTCCACAATAGATAGTCCATGCACAACTGGTTGGATTTTGGTAGACACTCAAATTTTTATTATTTCTGAGAGAATCTGCTTCTTCTTGTGCAAATAACCAACTTCTGAGCATTAAGTGACGGACTTCATTAAGAAGTCCAAGAATGTTTCCAGTTTTATTTATTTATGAGACGGGCAAAAAGACCAGAAACTACCCACTTCTTTTTCAGCTTTGCAAACACACTATATAAAGCAAAGAAATCACTGCAGTTCCCATCACTGTAGTCAACAGAAATTTGGAAAGTCTTACGAGTGGTCTCAACATTTACTCTCTGCACTGTGTCTGCTCTTTGGAGCTGGATTAAAACCCCCACAGTAAAACATATTTTCACCTGACACCACCAGCGCTGGGGTTCATCTGTTTACAGAATTACTTCATTTGTATTCCGTTAACCCCGAGAACTACATCTGACAGGGTATCCACATAAAAAGAAGTAATAAATGGTCACATTGATGAAACAGAAGGTTTCAGGGAGGCAGAAGGCAGGAGACCTGAATGAAAATTGAACCCAAAGTTGGCCTCTGAAGTAAAGTAACTTCCCCCGGAGCTGGACTCAGGGCACGGAGGGCTATCTGCTCACACTGGTCTCTTGGCCCCTGGTCCCTAAGCCCCACTGATACCTCCATGTAGACAGGCTCTTAGGGCGCGCATGCCAGTCCCGTATTCCCAAACTTCAAGTTCTTAGAAGACAGGGATCGTATCTCTTGCACCTTCTACCTTCCTCACAAGACTCAAGTATTTCCTGCATGGTATTTGACTCTGGAGTCCAAGTGAGCACTCATTTCTCAGAGTTAAGATAATTCAAATAAATTATTTCAAGGGAAAAAATGATGATAAATTTCACCACAATTAGTTTAAGAACCTGCCTGGAACTTTACCTCCGAAATATAACCAGACTCTAGCCTCCTCCAGTCCCTCTAGTGCCCACCTGGCCCCTGCACCCTGGTCCAGCTGGCCTCAGCTCTCACCTGCGTGACTACAGATGTCTCCAACCTGTTCTCTGCGCTCGAGCCCATACAACCCACGTTCAACACAGCAGCCGTGCTTATTCCGTGACAAGTCAGACCATGCCACTCCTCTGCTCAAAACCCTCCAATCACTGGAGTCTGACAGCTTCCCATTTCCAGTCCTTACAGTCCTACCTGATGGGACCCCTCACTCTCATCTCTTCCACTGCCCCCTCAGTGGCCCCACTCCAGCCGCAGTGGCCTCCTTGCTATTCCTCGACTCCCACTGCCTGGCCCACATCCACTCTCCTCTGCCTAGACATGCGCACCTGGGGAATCCGGTGGCTCAACCCTGCACTTGCTTCTGATCTCCGCTTAGAGCTCACCTCATCGGCGAGGCCGGCCCTGGTCACTCCCCACCCTGCACTCCCCATCATCCAGACCTGCTGTGTCTCTGCGGCATGTGTCATCACCTCCAGTACTGCACGTGCTTGGGCTTACTTGCTCACTGTCTGCACTAAAATATAAACTTGAGGAGGCAGATGGCCTCAAGGCTTAGAAGGTTCTCAGTAAAGAGCTGTTAGGCTAACAGAAAACAGATAAACACAACTGACTCTGATTTTATAATTTCTGAAACGCGCTGACAGGGAGTGAAGAGTTCACAATAGTGCTCTTTCTACTTTTCAATATGCTTTAAAATCCCTTTATAATAAGTTAAAAGAAAAATAAAATAGCTCAAGAAAGCAGCACCCACAAGAAAGCCAGGAGACAGGATACAGAGAACAATGACAACAATGAAGAGGAAATGGAGAACAAGTCAACTCTCTGGGATGAGGAAAAGGGCCCATGAAGTGAGCAAGCCCAGCACCCAACATGGGCGAGATTCGGGCCTCCTCATCCAGTAGAGCCGGAAGCGCAGTGTGACTGTCTTTATCTTTACCAACGTTAGGCACACACGTGTATCTGTTAAAGGATGAAATCGTGCTAGGGAGTTTATCACAAACCACAGCAGCTCCTGTCCGTTCCCCGTTACCCACCTCCACCCTGCTGGCCGAATCTTGGGTGCTCCCCGCCAGCTCTGAGGAGCAGGCTCCTGAGCCACCACTGGATTGGCTTCAGGAAGGGGCCTCCCCTCGGGGCAGGTGGAAGCACGGTGTCTCCTCCCTCCCCCGGCCCCTCACATACCCATGCCCCGCTCACCCCCACACCGTCTCCCGACAGGCGCATCGCTTCAATTAGAGCAATATTCAATGTTTACATCAATTATCATCATCGTGCAAAGGCTGTTCACAGCCGAGCCTTGCGGTACACCGTAATTATTTCTCTTTTCCTGCACAACGGTCTATTTTCCCTGGAACTAATAACAGTCTTGTGCTCTCATTTGCTTTGTGTTCCATGGACTCATCACTAATCCAGCCCCAGGCTGGCCAGCTGTCTACATCTCCTCTCCAGATGTCCCAGCGCATCAGGTGCCCTGTCAAGTTCACCTTCCCCGAGAACTCTCCCCAGAGGGATCTGCCCCAGACAGGTGAGCACGCTGGCCTCCCTACCTCCTCTCAGGAAAACCCCATCTCCTCTGGCTCTGTGCTTCCAGACTCACCACCTCATTTCGGTAGAGCATGTCTGTCAGTCCTTTCCTTAAAGTACATGGGATGTGAACTTTTGGAGCATGTCTGAAAATATCTTTATTCTACCCTCCTTTGCCTGAGTATAGAGTTCGAGGTGGAAGATAGTTTCCTTCGGAATTCTGAAAGCCATGCTCTCTTGCTCTCCACCTTCCAGTGGTGCTATGGACAGGTTCCCAAGGCGTTCCGCTCTGTTCTGTGATGACCTGCTCGTGGCCTGCTTTTATTCTTTTTCTAGAAGCTAGCGTAATCTTCCTTGTCCCAGAGTTCTGAGATTTCACAACAAGCCTTGGAGTGGGTGTGCACGTCTCTCTCCAACCGCACTCTCACTACCCAAATTCTGAAACCGATGGCCTCACAGGCATTTCCAAATAAATCCCTTGTTTCCCAAACTCTCACTCGTTACTGTGGAAACTCGGCATCCCTCATTGTGCACACCTGCTCCCCACACTGCAAGGACCCACACTGGGAGCTGAGCAGACAGGGAGAGCAAAGGACACCTGCCTTCTCACCCGCAGAGCTGGCCGCCTGGGAGGCCCCTTCCACACAAAGTTTTGGTTCTAGGAAATTCTCTTGCATTATTTTGTGGACGGCCTCGTCCTATTTTCTTTCTTACTGAAACAGAATATTCAGCTGTCAGCCTCCTGATCTGATCTTTCCCTTTTCTTTTTTCTCTCACTTCCCATCTTTGCTTTTAGGTTCATCTTCCCCAGCTCCTCAACTGTATCTTTCACCCACCAACTGGGCTTTTTATTTCTGCCATTATGTTTTTTTATATCCAAAGAGTTCTCTTTCTGATTCTTCAAGTATTCCCCCACTTTTTTTTTTATAGAGCAGCCCGCTCTTGTCTCTCGCATGCAGTGGTTCCTCTTCTCTGAGTGTGCATGTCAGCAACGGTCGGCTTGTTCAGTCCTCCTCCTGCACACCCTCCACGGCCTACAAGTGTGCGCTAGGGTCTTTACCTTCTGAATTAGAGATGTCTTCACATGTCCTTGGTTATCTGTTCCTATTTAAGAGGCAGGGCACCAAAAGAACTTGGAAGCTTTGAACTGTGGGGGGAGGCTGTGAATTATGAGCTTTATTAGTGAGGGATCCACCTGAGCCTCCTTACTGGGGACCTCCTGGTGTCACTATGTTTAGGTCCTTTCTTTTGAGCTACTCACACTCCCCAGACTCTTCCACTCCCCTGCCTAAGTGCCGGCCGGTGGTGTTCTGGGAGCCACCGACTCCACTCACTGCATCTCCCTGTGTTAGGCGTAGCAGTCGCCCCTCTCCCCCTACCCAACTATGCCTGGCATTTCCCGCTCCTCTCTGAAATATTTGTCAAGTCCTCTAAACAGTTACAGAAACCACCACCTTGATTAACTGCAGGAAGGACAGAGCTGCTGTGTCAGCTATCATGAGGCCCATCTACTGGCAAGTGGCTGAAGAACCAGCAGCCCTGGCCGCAGCCACACACACACTAAGTAGGTGTGAAACCAACGGCTAGCTTCTGAAGAGAAAGAGACAATTAAAAAATCGAAAGTAAGATGTAAGTTGTGGTTTTTTCAAACGAAAAACTGGCTGCATCTGCTTCAGCAGTATCATTAACTGGTCGCTCCTCCACAGCCACACTTGAGCCTCGAGACCTTTCTAGAAGACAATCACCCCCAGCTGTGCTAACACCCAGTCATGGCCATAAACTGCAGGCCCAGTGTTGGCCATCAGACGCACTTCTCTTCCAGCACCTATCCCTTCCTGGCTAGTATTCCCCAGGCTTCTGCCCCAGACACGCTATGAGAGGGTGTCTCATCCAGGATGGCCCACAAACACCATGAATTCTGCAAGCCTAAAACCCACATCCACTCTAGCACTTTTCATCACAGGCACCAGCTCTGTCCTTCAAGCAGCCGAGTCCGAAACCTTGGTTACTCTAGCGTTTTTTTTCTTTCCCCTTCACCACACCCCACAGAGCGCCACATGCTGTGGGTTCTCTTACTTGCTCTAATCTGATGACCCCCACCACTCTCTCGGCTTCCGTCCTGAAGCCATTCCCCCTACAATGGCACCCAATTCAGTCTCCAGCTCCCCACACCCTGAACCCGCCTTCCCTGTTGTCCCTAGTGCTGCTTTTCTTAAACATGGACCTATCACATCCCACCCAAAACCTTGACCACCCCCTCACTGAAGATCAGGATAGCAGCCCAAACTCTGTAACAGCCCTTTGATAAGAAACCTTAGCTTCCACCCCAATTCCCAAACCCCCTCTCGCAATGAATCCAGGGACGTGCTGCCCCCCCCCCAGACACCCCATTCCCTTCCATGCCTCCATGCGCCCTGCTGCCTCCACCTGGAATGTTCTCTCCAACCTTCACTCGTCCTTCAAGTCCCCCCAATTCATCCGACGTCTCCACCATGGAAAACTCCAACACCAGGAAATAAACTTCACTCTTCCCCTTTCTTCACACTTTGTAAGTAACTGCCCGGCTGCACCAGTCATGCTGTATTATAATCAGCCTAACCTTACCACCGGCAGCTAGCCCAACTTGACATCTTGCAAATAAGAGGCTCGGTGTTTGCCGAACGGAGGAAGCCCGCGCGCGCTAACAGCGAGCAGTGCTGCAGGCCTGCAAATAGCAACCCAAAGTCCTATGAACTGATAGCACGAAACGAACCACCGAGCGGTTCCCCGCAGAGGCGTTCGGCACGCGCAGGAGCGCGGCCTTCGCGTAGCCGTGTGCTCGGTGGGGGCTCACGCTCCTGCGGCGCGCAGGCTGCACCATGCGAGTGTGCCAAACCCGCCCTTGTAACACCTCCATCCTACACAATGTTTCAACTCTACTTCCATTTAAAACAATGTCCCGACGTCCCTGTGCGCTCCCCGCCCCCCCGAGGCCGCAGCCCGACTCACACGCCGCACGCCAGGTGCTCCCCAGGTGCTCCCGGAGAGAGGGCTGCACCGTGCCCCGCGCGAGGGCCCGCTGAGCAGGGTCCCCGCCGCCCGCAGGCTGCACCTACACCTCGGGGGGCAGCACCCTTAGAGGCGCGCCTGCATGCCCGCGTTCATCCCGGGCCTCCCGAGCGGTCCGAGCGCAAGCACAGAGTAAATCATTTAATAAATCGCCGACACACTGCGGCTTGTGTGCTCGGCGCCAGCGGAACCCGGGCTTGCGCCAACGGCTCGCCAGGACGCCCGGCGGCCAGGAGCCCGAGCGGGAGACGGAGGTCCCCGAGTTAGCGGCCCGTGCACGGGCCTCCTTGCGCGGGGGGAGCTCCCCTGCTCTTCTGAGCCGAGGGTCCCTGGACGGGTACCCCTCCAGGCCTCGCGGCCCCGCAGCGGCCGCCCTGGGGTCCCCCGGGGCGGGGCCGCGCGGCGCAGGCCGGCGGGAGGTGCCCGCAGCCCCGCAGGAGCGCGCGGTGGGGGGGCGGGGCGCGGGTCCCAGCGCAGGGCCCTCGGAGCACCGCCGAGCTGGCGGCCACGCTCGCGCGGCGCCCCACAGCAGGGCCGGGAGTGCGCCTGCGGGGCGGCCCACCCGCCGCCACCGCCCTCCCGCGCCGGGCGCCCGGGGCCCAGAGAGGGTGCGAGCCGGGCCAAGGCCACACAGCGGCCGGCCCGGGGCCGCCGCGGGCCTGCCGGCGGGCTGAGCTCGCGAACCGGACTCGCCCGCCGCCCCGTCCCGCACGCCGCCTCGCGGCCCGCGCTGCGCGCGCCTCCGCTCACCTCACCTCACCCCGCCGCCGCCGCCGCCGCCGCCAAGCCGTCCGCCGCCCCTCCGAGGCCGCCCCTCCTCCGCCGACCCCGCCCCCGGCGCCCGGCGCCCCGCCTCCCGCCTCACGTCTCGCGAGAAATCGCGGCCCACGGAGGGGCCTCGGAGGCCGAGGGGCGCCCGCCCTCAACGCGCCTGCGCCCTCCGCTCCCGCCCTCCCCAACCGGTGCCATGTGGCGCCGTATTTACGACCCGCGATCGGCCCCGCCCCCGGCGCCGGCAGCCCGCCCCCTTCCCCAGCCGCCAATCCAGTTCTGCGGGCCGCGGCGTTGGCTCCGCCTCCCCCGGCTCCGCCGCGAGGCGTGCGCGGGGCGCGGCCTGGAGCGCGGCGCGGCCCCGCCGACCTGCGCTTACGGAGCGCCTGCTGTCTGCCCCGCTCGTTCGCGACCCACCGACCGCTGGCAGAGGGTCGCGACGCTCCTCGGCCGGGGCCTGGGGCGGGTGACCAGACCTCTCCGAGGTTGTCCCAGGTCCGTCCGCAGGGTGGTGCCTTCACCCCGCAGGCGGGTCGCGCAGCGCTCCGCGAGATGAGCCCTGGGTTTTCTTCAATAGGAGTAAAATACGCATCTGACAAAATTCGCCGCATACCCGTGTTTCATGCACGTTCACGTCCGTGCAGCCATCCGTCTCCGCCAGCCACCCACAGAGCCTTTCCAACCCGTGAGGGTTCCTGCGGTTCCTCGCAGGGGACCGCGGACCGCCTTCCTTCCGAGGGGAGGCTCTGTCCTCACTCCTTGCCCAGCACGGAGTCCCCACCTGCTGGGTCCTGAGACACGGCAAGGCCCTGCCCT